GCGCCCGTGCGGGCGCGGGCGCCGTCGTCGCTCGGGTCTTTGAAGGGGCCCTGGGACACACAAATAGATACACACAAATAAAACGATGTCCCATATTTTCCCATATGTTCTTGGTTTTTGTGCTCCCCACCACTTCCCATATTGTCCCATATTTTCTGGGGGATCGACGATTAATTGTGTCTGTGTGTTTCTTCCCCTCCTGAGTCTTGCCAGAGGTGCTCCTGGCCCGAGGTGCCCCCCAGGAGTTCCAAGGAGGCCCCCCACGGCCTCCAGAGCACCCCTCGCGAGGCCCAGGGGGCCCCCCAGAGGCTCCCAAGTGGATTGCAAAGCTGGGGGTACCCTGGGCCAGGGGCACCTGGAGCAGCCCCCAAAGCTTGGGGGCGTCCTGGGAACATCTCGGACGCCTCTTGGGGCCTCACCTTGGTGGCCTACTTGCTGGCCCTTGCCGTCGCTCGGACGTCCATGTCCCGTGCAGTTGTCGGTGTCGTGCGTGTTTTTTTTTGGTCGATGGTCCAGGATGGTCCTCGATGGTTCTCGCCGAGAAAAAAATGCACACGTCCGAGCGATGCCGAGGGCCTGTTGAGGCTCTTGCGGGCTCCCGTTGGATGGCGACGTCCAGGCCCTGCCCCAACCACCACATCGAGGCTCCCGAACCGATGGTCAGGCGGGTGTGGGGCGCGGATTCCGCCACGTGCTCGACGAATTCCGACCCTGCCCCCGCCGCCGATCGAGTTGTCGCCCGCGGGGGCAGGGTCCGGACTTTTCCGCCGATCCCTGGGCTCCGACCGCCAGGAGGGAAGCAGGAACCCAGAGGGCGCACATCACTGAAGAATAAGGGCCCGTCCTGAAATGGAGGCCGCTGGGCATTTCGTACGTTATCGATGATGTGCCCACGCGCGCGCGCGACCGAGAACAGCACAGCCTGAGCACCATCATCAGGGACATCGCCGCTGAGCGACGTCTGCGCGGCGTCATCTTCAGTGGTATCAGCCCCCGCAGCAGTTGCTCGTGTTCCTCGTCCTCCTCATCCATGGGGAGGACACTGAGGAGGATGACGAGGACGCAGGACGCAGCACAGGAGCAGGAATCGTCCGACGGGAACTGACCAAAGCAGGAATCGTCCAACGGGAACTGGCCATGTGTGTCCTTCTCCTCATCCCCTCCTCCTGCTCCTCCCCTTTGTCCTCTTCATGTCTCCACCACCTTATCCGCCTCTGCCTCTTTCTCCTCATCCATGTCTTAATGTTCCTCCTCCCTCTCCACCTCTTCCTCATTCTCCGCCCCCTCAGATCTGTGTTGCCCCTCCCCGTTTTCCTACTGCTACTCCTTCTCCTTCTTCTCCTCATGCTCATTGTCATTCTCAGCCTCCTCCACCTAATTCTTGTCCCCCTCCTCATCCTCCCTCCGCCTCCTCGGCCTCCTCTTCCTCCTCCTCCGCCCCCGCGTCCTCTCCACTTCCTCTTCATCCTCCCGCTCCTCCTCGTCCTCCTCCTCCTCCTCATCTTCTCCTTACGCATATGCTTGGTATCAATGTCATGATTATTGTCTTTCGTCTTCTTCTTCATCATCATCACCATCGGCTGAATCGACGCTAATCGACGCTAGCCGACGCTGAATCGGCGCTAGCTCATCGACTCCCAGACGCTAATCGACGCCAGCCGACGCTACAGACGGAATTGAGAAGGCATACCAGGCTCCCATGATGTGCTACTGCACTCCTCCTGCTCTCCTGCCTCCCTCCTCCGACGTTGGACTGCGAGGGGCTCCCTCGCCGCCACGGCCGAACGTGCATGGCTCGAGAAACGGGCCCGGTTGGACCCCAGGAGGCGTCTAGGGACCAACTCCTCCTCCTTCACCCCCTAAGGAAGCGACAATCTGCCGCATGACTGTCAGGTGCGAGTACAGCTCGATCTGCCTTCCCCCACGCTCCCTCTCGGCGACTCTGGAAGCTATGGCTAAGGGTGTGGCTTGCAATGACTGCGCCGATCGCAAACCACACCCCGGCGTAACCACACCCTTTGTAGTCGCCGACCCTTGTGCACTGCCGTTGAACCTCCTGGCAACATGCCAGTTGCTGCTCGTCCCCGCTCTCGCCGCCTTCACCGTGGTCGCGCAGCTGCTCGTCGGCGTCGTCGTCGTCGCCAGCGGCACCTCGTCGCTGTCAGCCGCCCTGCTACATGACAGCGCCATCTGACTGGCACCCCCGCTGTCCTTGCGCGGCCCAGCTCAGGGCTGCACTAGGTCTGCGGTGCCTCTGCTGCCGAGGTCTGGGCCAGGAAGCCAGACCAGGAGTCGGGCAGAAGCTTCCGACACAGAACACTCTTCCACGTTTGGGGAGGAGGGGTTCATCACTGCACGCCGCCGAAATCGAACACTTCCCAGCTTCTCGCTCTTTGAGGCCTCCTCCTGGATGCCCCTTCGGCGAGCCTCCTGAAGCCTCTTGGGGCCCTCCTCGCGGCCCCTCGGGGGTGCACCACAAGCCTCTCTGGGTTCGCCTTGG